AACTCTGCAATTTTAGAAATTGGTTGCAATACACCCATTAATTTGCCTTCTCTCCATGTACTTACTTACCAAAACAATGAACATGATAACTTTTCTTTGGAAAAAAAATAAATGAAGAAGCTTAGCTCTTGTCCAAGGGACCCGTGTTTGCCCCCCATTCAAGGAAGGGGACATAATGCTTAAGGCTAGACTTTGGTGAAAATTAAAGCCCCTTTTGGAGGTCCCAGTAGCCATATCCAAGTTTTATTCTAATTTTCTTTTATGGGCTATTATGAAAATAAAGCGTTCTTCAATGGTCAAAATCAAGTGGAACAGTTTTGTGAAAGTGATAAAAATTGTTTCTCTTTTTCTTTCTTTTTTTCTTTTTTTTTTTTTGAAGAAAGTTCCATAATCTTATTTATATATGAAAATAATACAACAGAATTAAGAAATAAAAACATCAGAAGCCACCCAATCAGCAAGAGAAGAACCCTGTTTTGCAAGGGAATTCGCCAAGCCATTGGCCTCCCGTAAGATATGAACGAAGGAAAGAGATAAAGACCGAGAGATGTCGATGATTTCCAACAAGAAAGATCTCAGCTCCCACGGGACTTTCTTTTCCTTATTGCACCAATTGATGGCATTCAAAGAATCCCCTTCAACAATACAACTCATCTCAATATTCTTATCCCTAAAAAGTCTAAGCCCTTGAATAGGTGCATAAAATTCTATAAAATTCGTTGTCGTCACCCCCAAATGACCTGCATAAGTAAGCAATACCCTGCCAATCCCTTACAACACCTCCATAACCCGCATTACTTGGGTTTCCAAGAGAGCTACCATCAAAGTTCAATTTAAAATCCCCCCTTGTTATCTACCAATTGCTCTATTCCTTCGGCCTCCTACATAGAAAAGAGTAGACAAGTTGAACTTCACATTAACCTCTACAATATCTTTCCCCACCTTATGAATCGATAGGTTCATCCAAATAGAATGGAGGATCATCTCCAACCCTCTTTCCCATGGCAATGATGTCCCCTTAAGGACTCTCTATTTCTTTCTTTTCAAATTTCCCAAAGAATCACGCCTCGTGCAATTTGCCAAATAATCACACCCGTTTGAGGCAAAGAAGGAACAGAAAGAGTATGCAAGACTCCAAAAACATCCACAGGTAAGACCAATGGGACGCGTAATTGTCTAAAAAACCAACACTAAATTTTGTGGGTAAAAGGACATTGAAGAAAGAGATAGGAACCTGTTTCCCCATTGCACTTACAAAGAAAGACCTTGCCTCTTTTGATAAGATTGTCGGTAGTAAGAACCTTATATTGCAATACCAACCAAAGAAAGGTCTGCACCTTGAGAGGAACCGGTCACTTCCAAATACTTGCTAATTCCAGCTTAGATCATCGTCATCTATCATGAAAAATGAGATCGTACATTAACCTTATCGAAAATTGACCATCTTTCAAATACTCGCTAATTCTAGCTTTTAATTTTTCCTTGTCCATAAGTTGAAATGGGGCCTATTAGAGGTGTTTTTTTAATAGATGTTCAAAACCTTAAGTTACATGATGAATAGTAGCATGTCAAGCTAGCACCCCACTCATACAAGCATAAAAATAAGGACTATAAATAGGAGTTTATTACTACATATAAAAATAGGAACATCAAGGACCCAAATGTACCATGCTACATGTATAGAAGTCTCTTTCATAATGGCAATATGAGGCCCCATTTGGACATGTTGGTAACAATATTTGGGTCATGTCTTTGCTTGCATTTTTGAATAATCGAGAAAAAAAGGTACTTGTTAAGCAAAATTGGTTTCTTTCTCTTGTAGCTGTTTGGGAAACTGCACCATTGCTAGTGTTTTGCCAATAAGGAAGCATCAAAAGAAGAAAAGAAAACCAATATCGATTTATTGGACGGTGATAGAGGGAAAGTTGTGCAGTAGAGTTAATTGATGAATTTTGTGATTGTAGTTTGGTATGGGTCTTATGAATCTGCAACTCAGGGACTTAGGATTTGTATTTTGATTTAGCTGTATTTTGGGAGTATACACACCAGGACCCGTTTACACGTCAGATTTACCAAGACATGGGCGCTTAACACTTTGAAGAAAGCGAGCTCCTCTCATGCTTTTAGATCTCCTATTTATGGTCTCAATATTTTAAAAATTTATATCCTCCACGATCTATAGTCAACCACGGTGAGACCTCAATCAACGAACAATTTCCTCCATCACCATCCAACCCATGAATGAATTTCGTGACGGCCCGTATAATATGATCCATGTAATCATGATGTACTAATCCATTGATGTGATGGAGTAGGTCCCCAAAGCATTCAATTCATGAGACGCACTTTCCTCATCACTACCAAACCTATTTGATTGCGCGATGATAATCCACATGATCATGTTGTTGGATCATGTTACGTTTCCCCATAAAGGAAAGTGGGAGAAATTTTCAACAGGGATGCCCAGGGTTTTAAAACACACAATTGGGATTTGAATCTTTCCCCGTTGGGATTAAGATTTGCAATTCTGATCTACATTTCCCAAATTCAGGGTGATTCAAAAGCATTCGTCGAGTTGTATCTTAACTATTTGGGGTTGGATTGAATTTGGGTTTAAAAACCTTTTTGACATATTGGCAGTCCCAAACACGAAAGAAAAAAGTGGGGAGTTGTGTTAGATTGGCATTTAATAATTTTTTTTTATCACATCCTTATTGTTATTCGAAATAATTATTTTCAAAAAAAAATTGAATAAGTGAAAAAAGGATTTAAACTGTTTTTTCTTATTAAAAGAACTACAAGAATCCCATAAAAGTCACTCATTTTCATTTTGTTTCTAGTTATTTAAATTAGATTACGAGAAAATATCGCATGAACCCACAATTTCCAAAATTATTTTGTAGTAGCACTGATCCAACTTGCTTTTTTAAAGCAGCATTAGATTTCCCGTAAAATTATCAGTGTACACCCTCGTCCCCTCTGTCTCCAAAGAGGTAACGCTTAAAAGAAAAAAGTTGACAGTGGCTAACACGAAATAAGTTTGTAAACTAAGGGGTCAGTACGATATTTTTCCTTTGTTCAATCTACTAACCAGACTGTAAATGATTTGAAACTCATACGTGAAGCTATTTTTTTTATGGATCTAAGGTCAATTTTTTAAGAGAGCCAATTTTTTAGCCCTCGATTTCTATCAAAAGGGGCTTGACCTAAAAATAAGTATAAAAATCTTGTAGAAGGCTCAAAGACAGATTCAGGGACAAATTTCACACAAAATGGATGTGAAATGAGGAATAACAAAGTATGGGAGATTTTCGAAACAAAGTTAAAAATATGAGATGATTTACCTTTTATATAAGGTGGTCACACTAATCTTGACTAATGGATGTAAAATTGGGTGGCTGCAATTTTTTTTGCATTGACCGAACTCAAAGTTCAAAAAAAATATTCTTGAATTTTGTGATGGTTGTAAAGATTTGTGACCACCATGTATAAAAGATAAATAGTCTCATTGTATATCATCTCTAAAATTATTGCCAACAAATAATAACATAAAATAAACAGTCCAAATACATACAAATTTTTTATAGTAAAATGATGAAAATACTTTACATTACTATCGAAAGAGAAATCTCTAACAACATGAAAACTCAAACCAGGGACTTCTTTTATAAGCCCGAGCAACTTTTCAAAGGACCCCCAACTTTGTGGCAATCGATTTCGATCACAAGGGTTTAAATAAAAAAACAGTTATAGACATCTTATACAAACCTTCAAAGAGAATATTTTATCACTAATTTCACACAAAATGTAGGGTTTTTGGGAGTCCCTAGCTTGGAGAACCGAGAATCCTAAATACTGGGATCTCACTCAAGATCGTATACATAATTGACTAAATGTGGAGTAGATAAATGCAATTATAAATCAAGTGCGAGAAATAAAGCACACCACAACAATACACGATTTACGTGGTTCATCCCGTAAGGCTATATCTACAGCCTCAACAACTAGAAATCCACTATCACAATGAAAATTACAGTTCTGGGTTACAAGGGATAATAATACATATCTCTAAATATCGGTAAAAGATCATCACAGATCTCTCAATCTCAACCCGCTCTCCAGATCGAGCCATACCGTTCTTTCCCACCACAATACCATACCACTACCGAAAAGATAACCTCGAGAGCAACCGATCTCTAAAAGTGAAATTTAACCAACTCAAAACTCATGAGAATACCGCCTCTCTCTCGAAAGCCATGTCTCTCTCTTAGAGACTCATCTCTATATTGGATATCCATTCCCATAACCCCCAAATGGATGACTCTCAAAAGATGAGTATTATGTCATTATTCATTCCGTTCTAAAGATATCATTTTTTTGCATATCAAGAAAGCCAATTTTTTATTTTCCATAATAAACTCAACACATAATGAGTCAAAACGAGTGAAGAAAATTCGAGTAAACATAGAGGTATTCAATTAGGGTCCAAAAACTGAAATAGAAAATCAGATCCGGGCTTCACTTGATTTGAATCACCGAGGTGGAGTCGCAATTCATTGCAGTGGAAATTGGGACGGTCCCCTGCCGGTTTCAAATCGGATAAGACATCATGTTAAATCGTGATAAAATACAATGCCCAAATTGGGATATGAAATTAGGCCCATAAAATATTATATTCCTTCCAAATTCTCACATTTGTAAGCACGCTGTGGGGATACTTCTCTCCACAAATGAAATGGTTCCTAGCACCCAAACACCCTTCTCTCTCATTCATTCTCTCTCTCCTTCTCCACAAATGCCTCACCCTCCCCCAACTCCACCAACTCCATGCTTACACCATTTCTTCCGGCCTTGCAAACGATCCATTCGTCGCCGGAAACCTCATCGAATCATTTTTGAGGCAAGAATCCGGCAACCTTTCCACCGCCCATGTCATCTTCTCTCTATCCCCAATTCAAACCACATTCATGTATAATATTTTAATCAAGGCCTATGCTTCCATGAATTTGCCTCTTGCTATAATGTTATATACCCAAATGACAAAAAGTGGTGTTTTTGCTAATAATTACACTTTTCCTCCGCTGATTAAAGCTTGCACTCAATGGCAAGCTGTTGTATCGGGAGAAACCATCCATTGTCAGATATTGAGGCTCGGTCTGCAAAATGATCCATTTGTTCATTCTGCTATTTTGAACTTTTATGGGATCTGTAAGGGCATGCATTTTGCTGTTGGGTTATTTGCCGAAGTTTCAAAGCCAACTATAGTTTCATGGACCTCAATTGTGAATGGTCATGCAAAATCAAGGGATTATGCAGCGGCAAGAGAAGTGTTTGACAAAATGCCTGAAAGAAACTTGGTTTCTTGGAATGCTATGATATCAGGATATGTGCATAATGGCCAATTCCAAGAGGCTTTGGGCCTATTTAATGAGATGCAATTATCTATGATAAAACCCAATGGTGCAATTCTAGTTAGTGTATTAGTTGCAGTGGCCGAACTAGGGGCCCTACATCAAGGAAGGTGGGTGCATGATTACATAGAGAGAAATGGTTTGAGCTATACTGCAAATCTAAGTACCAGTTTGGTTCATATGTACGCGAAATGTGGGGATATAGAAACATCATCCCGAGTCTTCAATATGTTCTCTAATAAGTCCCTAGACCTGTTTAATGCAATGATCAATGGATTTGCCCTACATGGACTAGGAAAAGAGGCCCTAGATCTATTTGCCAAGATGTTGGCTCATGACAAGCTGCGGCCTGATGATATTGCATTTTTAGGTGTATTAAGTGCATGTGCTCGTTCAGGATTGGTTAGAGAAGGCCTAGATTGCTTTGAATCAATGGCTAGATTGCATGGTGTGGAACCTAAAATGGAGCATTATGGCTGTATAGTGGACCTCTTAGGGAGGGCCGGCCATCTAAATGAAGCGCTACTGCTAATAGAGAACATGCCTTTAGAGCCTGATTCTAGAGTTTGGGGACCCTTTTTAGGTGCTTGTAGGATACATGGTGCCGTGCAATTAGGCGAGACCATTGGAAATTTGTTGATAGAATTGGAGCCAAGTAGACCAGAGAGATATGTGACTCTGTCGAATATTTATGCTAAAGGTGGTAGGTGGAGAGAGGCTGAGAGAGTTAGGGGGGTGATGAAGAACAGAGGTGTGAAGGTTGAACCTGGGTGTAGCTCGATTGAGGTTGATGGGGTTGTGCATGAGTTTCTTGTTGGGGATGAGGTGAACACTAATAAAGCAAGGGAGGTCTACTTGGTGTTGGATGTGATAGCAAAGCATATGAGAGAGGGAATAGGATGCATTACTAATGCAATGCCTGTGTTGCTTGGTGGGTTTGAGGAGGGTTAGGTTTTTATGTTGGCAGATTGAGAAGCTCTGAATAATTGGGGGAAAAACTATTGGGGTGTCATTTTCTGATACTTATAAAATGCTTTTCATGACTTTTACTCATGAATTTTAACTAAATAAGTTTTACAATTACATTTACCTCTTAATGCTTAATGTTTTGTTTGCCTGTAAAATTGCCAATTATTTCTCGATGAGTTGTGAATCTGCTGGCTTGGGACCAATGGCAGTGCAAGAGATTGAGCATATCACAAGTGAATTAAAAGGAGCTGTGACTGACGAAGAAAATGGAAATGATTAAAATAACAACAATGATGATTGTTATTTTGAAAAAACAAAAAAATCCTTATCTAGCATAAATAAAACAGTGTATATCTGAAATACTTCCAACATCATTCTCCATGTTTCCATTAAGTATTATCTTTCCATTACTATCCCTTTTACCATTTTTTTCAAATTCTTCTTTGCTATATTTCCCCCTTTTTCTCAATAGATGCCAATGTTCTCTATATAACAGTCTTTACAATGATGAAACAGAAAGAGACCAAGTTCATTCCGTTACGACTGTTTTTGAAGCTTGTTCTTCACTTGAAGCATGTCTTACTTTCTTTCTCAGCTTCCTTATTCTCTCTCAACCAAATTCGTTACTCTCTACTCACATTCTACATTCACCATTGCATGTTACTAAAGCACATGTATGTTGTAAAATGACTGTTCTTCCCTCACGAGAGTATGCGATCGCTAACACTAACTGTTCTTAGGTGTGTAAGCAGGTTGAGCCTAGGCAGACCCAGGTCCTGCCCCTTGATACTAAGGTCTGGCCCGAGCCTGTAAAACTAATGACCTTTAATATCCGGACAGATGGGCCCTATGAAAGCTCCAGCAGGGCCCGGCCCAGCCCATTTGCAACCTTGGCTGTATGGGGATACAAATTTTTCCTTACTTGAAGGAAACGCTAATTAAGGACCACTTTGTGTATGTTTCCACATTTTGCAATCAGGATCAGCCAGGTGGTTGTGGGAAAAGGCCAAAAAGGACCACAAAATAAAGTACGAATAAAATAAAAAGGCCTATCTATATGATCCATGCACCATGGACCATAGAAGCATATTTCTCCTCCAGAATCCAAGGCATCGAAGCAGTAGCATCCATGGCCTGGTGAGACGTCTTTATCCATAGAGATCATGGTATCTATAGAAGAACACAAGACAAATCCTATTGCCAAAGATAATGTGCTCCAACACTGGAGCATATGTCAATTTACTCCCTGGGATGAACCCCTATGTAGGTTTGTTTTCAGGACCACAAATTTCGGGATGTCACCTCCTCAAAAAAAAACACAAAATGGAAAAAGAGACCATTTAATTTTGGATGGTTAGGTCAAAGTTTTCAGAAATAAAAACATCTTTTTCTTTCTTTGAAAGTTCTCACTTGGTGATTCTAAAATAAATAGTTAGATTTTAGATCAAGAAAATCCTCTTAAGCAGATCATTTACATGAGGGAGTATGTGTACAGTGTGCTCTTGCAGCAGTATGCTATTTGTGCTCACTCTTCTTAGTAATTCTATTGGAAAGATGCTTTTGAAGTTCATACTAAAATTCAACCTAATTTTTGGTGTGTCAAAAGGAGTAAGGGCTAATTCTTGATACAGAACTAATAAGAAAATTCCAATTTTAATCAAATTTCGTGTTTGGAGAAATTCAATACAACTTCTTAACCATGAAATCAAAAGCCATGTGTGATGGCTATTTTCTATGGAACATGTGTTGGAATGGTAATGCAATTTTTTTGTTTTGTGGGGTATTTTTATAATACACATTTAATAGAAAAAATGTCTTTTATAAAGGCCCATAAAATCTATTTGTAGAGAGAAAACATAAGACAAAGTATAGAGAAGTTTGGGGGAGAGAATCGGGATTTTTGCACAAACCCGAACACCATTGTGGCCTCGCATGGGGCTGATTTTTTATTGGCATTTCTTCACGGTGACTATATTGGTCAACGTTAATAAAGAGATGAGTCGATTAATGGTGGTATTATTATAGGAAATACCCATTTAGGCTTTTTTTACTATTGTATAAGGTAATCTTTACAAAACTTCAAATTTGTAAATTTCGTTTTTTGATAGTAAATACATTATTGCTCATTGCTTGCGGATGTAGCCCGTTTTGGGTGAACCACATAAATTTGTGTGTGCTTTCTACTTTTACTTGTATTGTAATTTGGCAATTTCCCATTTAACTTATTTTTTCTTGTTTTTATGTTTTTTCCAAATATATTGCACATATTATTGTCTTTTGGTATTTTGTTTGGGTGATGGATTTCATTGTTGTTTGATGCTCACCGTATCAAGTAGAGATTTAGGTTATCCTGGATTGCTCCAATTTTAATATCGACCGCATTCCATGATCCATGGTCGATATCCGAAATTCCAATCCACAAAATCCAATGACCCCATCCATGAATGTCATCCATAGAAAGGCATGTTAAAATGAACGTGACCCTGACTTTCAATCAAATCCATTTCAACCATCATCATGCCATGTGCCGTGGCCAACGGCCATATGATGGACTGATATCAATCCATGCAACATGGACCTCAAACTCTTGGAAGAACCTTATCTGGGTCATGGATTGATACAAACATGGGCACTCACTCAAAGAGTTTTCTTTCTAGCCTTAGCTATGCAATCTTGTTGGGATAAAAAGGGAAAAGCCATAATTATTTTACCTTTCACTTTCATTATCCTATCCCATACCATGAAAACCCCCAAACGCGTTTGATTCATTGCACAATGTCGACCACTTCAGTGCATGGGTGGTGCCTCAATTCTATCCCCAAAAAAGCATTTAAGAACTCTGACCTCACATCACTGAGACCACATAGCTCTATAGTCATTTGCAGAGCTCCACCCTCACCTGTTTCGCCTCCTCGCCTCATAAGAAGCAGACCGGTATTCGCCGCCCCCTCTCCCCTCCTAACACCACCATCTGTGAGTTTCTCTGTCTCTCTCTCACACACACACAAACCTTGGTTGGAGGGAGTTGCCACATGGTCTCTCTCTTTGGTGAAAATTGGAGGAAGTTGTTTCTCTCTCTCGCTCTCTCAGTTTGGTTGGAACTTGAAGGGAGTTGCTATGTGGTTAAACAATGCAAAACAATGTGTTTTATGATGCTAAATGCATTTCTTCATGCATGTGCATGCAAATTGACCCTCATCCTTTCCATATACATTTTATTTATTCGTCTATTTTCTTGAATTCTAGGGGATATTACTAAACTCTCCCCAAATAGAATGCCCTCCCTTTAAAAGGTTTCTCACATCCATTACTCTGATGCTTCTCTTTTCATTGACCCAGTGGACTTTACATATAAATTTATAACCACAATATCCTAATTAAAAGAAAATAAAATGTCAAAAGAAGTTCCTCTCTCTCTCTCCAATCCGTTTCTACGAATCTTCCATCTCCCCCCACAAGATCATATTTTTATTATCCCTGTCCCATCTTTTAGTTGAAGCCATTTCAGAAGCAACAACCCAACTCTTATTTATTGGATTTCCTTCAAATTTAGTGAGTCATTGTTCTATTCAAATGCAAAGAAAGCCCACTTTTTGTGTATGGTATTCTCTGCAAGATCATTGGGTTTCTCTTTTGATCTCACCTCTAAGAAACTTATCTTTTTTGTTATGATTTTCCCTGCAAATTTAGCAGGAAGTTGGCAACACCATGGGACCTTGTCTTTCTTCCACCAAGGTTAGTGGCTCTTCAAGCAACAACAACAACAGAGAAAGCAAGCATAATAATCAAAATCAACAACAAAATCAACAAACCCCACATCAAAATCAAAACCATCAACACCAGTCACAACCAAAGGACAAAGGACCTCCCAAGAGGGCATAAGAGAGATACTTTTTGGCATTCTATTTTTATTTAGTAAGGGTATTTAAGTTATAAATTTTGCTGTAAAGTACCCTAGGGTCAATCTGAAGGAAAACATATTTAGGCCTTCCATATTGTTTGATGCATTATCTTCCACTGTGCTGAAAATTAGTTTTCATGAGCATTTCTATTTTTTCCACTATCTTTATTAAATTCCCTCCCTTTGCTTTCTTATATCAAACTTTTTTATAAAATTGATTTTAATCATGCATTTTTTTCTTTTTTAAGCCATCTCTTCTTTTGTTTATTGTTGGCTATGTTGCTCACACTTATACAAACATTGTGTATATGTACTACGTTTCTCAAAACACATGCACACGAGATACTACATAGCACTTAGTACTCGGTCTTGTGAACGGTGCATAGTGCACAGCACAAATCACTCAATGTGCACTGTTCATATACAAAGTGTTGGGCACATGTTGGGCGTTTACGTATGGAAATCAGGAAAATAATCCAAAGTGAATGTGAAGTATGTTAGCAAATTTTCCTTTTAAAGATAATTATTTTTCTCTTTCCTTCTCTTCTTTTTTAAAGTCGTTATTTGTTCGTTTCTTTTAACCGTTCATTAGAATACGGTCAAGGCCATCCAAGACAAATAAGTTAATTGATGAGACCATTTATTTTTTTGTTTTGGATTCTACATTCAATAGAAGGAAAGGCCCGATAGCATTTTGTTATCATATAACTATCTTTTTTAATTTTCTTATCAGCTTTCCATATGAAATGGCTTAGCAAATAGATCTAGGCAAGCTTTCTATGCTTCACTTACTGCATAAAACTTAAATTACTTTCCTATCCAACCTTCCATTCCGAATGGAGGGCTGAGATGGCCCTAGTCACAATGTTATGTCTTTAAACTATTTTATTTTAAATTGTTTCTCTACAAATTATTTTGATACCAAATTCTGGACGTCCACTCATCTCTTAAAGTCTCATCTTTAAAAAATATAAAAAATATATTCTCAATAAAAAATGACCAAAATACCCCTAAAAGTTCAAGGGGTATTTTGATCATTATATTATATAAAAAAAAATTTAATATTTGTTTTAGGTACGCCTCATTGAGATGATGGCACATACCAAATTTCATATTGTTATAATTTTTTGAAAAAAAACTAAAAATAAAATATTTTGCGGCATCGAATCTAGACAAACAGTCAGTGACTCACTTGATCTAAATTGGACAGCTAGATGAGAAAAAAACATATATCGTCTATGCAGTAGAAGAAGAATAGAAACCTCTCCCAATAGGTATATCCAATGTTTTAAAATATTCAATTTGATTTTGGATTGCCCGCTCATCTTGATCAGTGTTCTTAATCTACTGAATTGCCAAAAAATCAACTAAAAAACAAAATCGAGGGAATTAAGGGCTCATGATCCGAATCATCTCCCCCATCAATCTGATCCAAGTCCACGATACCTAATCCGAATCGCCCATTTCATACATCCAAACGAGGGGTGTCATGATGGGGTGACCACGTTTCAACTTTTTGCTTCCACTTTTCAGGGATCTTTCGGCACTAACCAATAGCCACTTTCATGCCTTTACGAACATTATTTCTACTTGCTTCCTTTATTTTTCAATTTCAATAAGAGGGTGGTGACCCAAAAGAGTTTATTCCGTGGTAAACTTAAAATCATATTTTTATATTTGTTATAGTGGCATTGTTATAAGAGTTTGTATATTATGCCCACCTTATGCTATATAAGGCCCACCCTCTAAATTTTCAAAAACAGTACAGATCGAGCAGATATATGAATGCTTGAAAATCTTGAAAATAGAAAGTCCAGATAATTGTTACAAGATATATTATTTTTACATTTTGAAATTCTTTATTTATTTTTATATCTAATTTAGACAATCAATTAGAATATTTATAAATGTTTTCAATCACATATGCTACCATGCCAACCTCTCCTTTTGTAAATTTTGCCTGGAAGGTCCCTTATCTTCTCTGTCTTTCCTCTTTTAGGGAAGGTTAGATGGAAGGTTAGTGAAGGTTAGATGGAAGGCTAGTTGGAGTTTGATCCTTGGAGTTTGGTGTTTGTCCCTTGGTCCACTTTGGAGGCACTTTTAAGGGTTAAATTCCTCCATGCCTATTGTAATTGGGATAAAATCCAAGGGCTACGCGAGTCTTAACAAAAATTTTAAAAGGAAAATTGTTGTATGAGTCCGAGAATGTATTCCTACATTTGTGTTCCCCGACACATAAAACATCCATCTTAAAGATTAACACAAATAGGTGGTCCGTCCAAAAAGAGTTAAAAATGATGGTCTAATTGTTTTCTTCATAAAATTATCCTTCTTAGTTTTGAATTTTATTTATTTATTTACATATTCATCATCTCCATGTCATAGATTATATCCTTAAAAATTAGGTCCAAAATCCATCTCAAAATGGATTTTTAAGAGAGGACTCATTTCTATATACGAGTCCTAAGTATCATAGAAACCGTGTTCCATTTTTAAGCAACATTTCAACATGTAAGTTAAAAAAAAAAAAACATTTCGACATGATCATATTCCCTTTTCAAAGTAATCCTCAATTTTTCTGATGATTTTATTTCGATATCTCAAGAAACTTTTGGAAAATAAAGGAATATATACTACGAGACCATTTACTTTTATTACAAGGAAGTCATCAGTAACCATAACCATCTTATTTCAAATTGGATAGCTTGGATATGTTATGAAATTCAAGAAATTTTTCTTTGAATTTTGAACCTAGTCAATGACAGTCACCACTACCTGATTTGAAATCCGACGGGCAAACATGATCGTGACTTCTTTATATCAAAAGTAAATAATCTCTTTGTATATTTTTCCAAATTTTAAACATCTATTTGTTTGTGGAATCTAGTTGCTAGGACAAGGCTTTCCAGCAGATAGATGCACCTTTTTTCCTCTATATTTTTGTCTCAATGATTTCTTTTATATTTTCCAAAGTAAACTTCACCACCACTTGATTTGAAATCAAGCACGTGAATGTAACCACCTTGCATTAAAATAAAGGATCTCTTTGTTTACAATGCCTTTTCATTTTCTTTGACCATGGGATTCAATAATCAGAAACAATCCATTATTTCTATTTTAAACTAATTTTTCTCCCAATTTTCTTAATTTTAACTATTTTCCTAGTTTTGATTTTAGATTATTAGTAAACTCATTTCGTAAGAGGTGACGACACGGCATGACTGATCCGTGGTATGACACGTGTCGAAATAAAATGTGCCCATCCCTCCTTACTTTTGAAAGCCTTTCGGAAACAGGAAAGCCGTTCGAAATTTTAGTAATAAACTAGTTTTATTAATTGAAAAAGGATTATCATACTGCCCCCAATTATATAAAATAATGGATATTATCACGCCACTTATACACATATATTGCAAAAAGACCAATAATTAAGAGCATGTTTGGTAGGTATGAAAATATTTTTGTAAAAATATTTTTATATGAAAGAACTCCCTTATGTAATTAATGGAAGAGCTTTTCTTCCACATCAATGGTTATAAATTTGCCTTGAATTGGTATAAAAAAAAGAAAATATTTCTATACCTCTCATTTTTAAGTTTTATATCTCAATAGACTTAAGGTTTTAAAACATATATTAAGTAATAAAAATTCTAAGTTTTATATCTTTTAACCTTTTAAGCTAACTTTATCGCTTTTAAACTTATTTTTTTGCCCCTAACAAATATAAGAAAAACATATCTTTTTCTAAACATCATTATTTGTCACTCTTCACGTGATTTCCCCTAAATTTTTCTCTCTACTTATTTTTCAAGTCTCTCTCCCCCCGATATCTCTCACTATCTTTTTCCCCCATTAGAGAGACAAATAGGGTAAATGTTAGAAAGAGAAATTTTGGGAGAATATATCATCTAAAGAGATGAAGGGTTTAGAATGAGTAAGTTTTTTTTATATTTATTAGGGTTAAAAAATTAGTTAAAAATAAGTAAAGTTGGTCAAGAGGTTAAGTGATATATTTTAAATCTTTCGATCTATTGAAATATGAAAACAAAAAATAAAAAGTAAAAAAATATTTCTCCATGAAAAAAATTACCGCATCTAATCATATAAGCAAGTCCTTTCATGTAAAAATATATACAAATTATTTTTATACGTATCAAATATGTCCTAAAAGAGGACCCAACTACGACGCTGACAACAACCAAGCCAGCCTTGGCCCTAACCTGGCCTTTCTTCCATAGGGCCGGCCCAGCTCAGGCCAAAAGCAAAATTAAGCAAAAACAAAAGAGAAATGAAAGAGAAAGGAGGGTTGAGTTTTGCATTGCCCTAGCCCAGCCCTACGGTCATGGCCTAGACCTAATTTTTTAAGATGCGGGCCCATTGTCGGCTTTACCCAATAGGGACTATTCCGAAATTTACAAAATTCTAGGAATAGACAAAGGAAATTTACAAAATTCTACGTATAGACAGTTTTTATAGGAGAACGAAGAGTTCAGTTGGCAATGGACTGTGCCCGCGCCCCATCACCCTCTATGACCTATGTGGGGCCGACGGCCCAAGCCCGATTCAACCTGGCCCTAACAGACTCAAAGGAAAAAAAAAAGGAAACAGTTTAGGGCCAGGTCAGCTCTCGAACCTGAAGTGGTTTGGTCGATGGCCCAGTCCTTGAGCCACATTTGTGGCCGAGGCCTTGGGTTTTCAGAGCAGACCAAGTCACCCGTCCCCATTTTTTCCTGATCACCCAAGGAGTTAAAAAAGGCCCAAGTATCGACCTCACCAGTTGACTGGCTGGAAAACCGTGGTTAGGTTCAGTAACCATAGTTAGGCAGCTCAAGTTGTTTCAATTTATTATTTATTTATATATAGGAGGAGAAATTAGGGGCGTGGTAGTCAGATGCTTTTCAGAAGGTGCAGCTAAGAGAGTCACACAAATTCAGAGGAGAAAAAGCTCTCTAAAGATCTCTCTCTTTAATCGAATAGTACAGATATATAATCTCTCTCTAAAGTTTTCAGTAAGTTATCTATACCACTTTCTGTCCTCTGCTACTCTCTGATTATCAGAATATGGAGCCAAATGTCCTCTACTCTCTGGGTCAATTTCTTCTATGAATTTTTATATGTTTCCGTGTGAATGGAGAATCTCTTATTTGCCTTAGTTTTCTATAAAACTGTAAATGAATTGAATTGTATTTGTGGGTTTTTTTCCTTTGGGGGATTTGATCAGTTGGATTTTAGTTTCTTGTCTTCTACAATTGGTCGGTTTTCACATTCAATGAAATAAGATGGATTTTATAGTCGAATTTCGATTTTATGGAAGTTATCATGGCTTTGTATGTATGGAATTTTCAGGAAAATGGAATATTGGGGTGGCTTTTGTTCGAAATTTTGAATATTGGATGGTTATTTACTTGATATGTGAAGAGTTCTTCTGGGAAATTACATTTGGTTGTTTGGATGTCAAACATTTGTGATAAATTTATTGAATTTTTTTTGTCATATTTTTCCTGTTTCCTAAAATGAAGAGAAAATGTATAATTTTATGCTTTCTTGTGAATAATTCTCCAGTATTCAAGGATCTGTGCATTCTTTCCTCATTTTAAATCACCATTTCCTCAGTGTACTGTAAATTTACATTTCATCACAGTCTGAGTCTAATCACTCTGAAAGAGCCTCTTTGATTTGAAATCTAGAGAAAACATACTATTAAAATCTGTTTAATGTTTATTAAACAGTTCATCTCATATCTATTTAGCAATTATCATCTAATTTTCACCATTATATCCTTTTGTATCTTTAGCTCCATTCATCCGAGAGAAAAAGGTAAAAGATCAGAATTTTAATCCGTAGTCTTGTCAATAAATTGTCCTTTAATTCAGTCATATTTTCAAATTTGCTTTATCCAAAGAATATTCCAATAATTCAGCATATGCAAAGTGCCTTTATTTTGAAGAAAAATCAGTGAATTTGAATATACACTGAATCTACTTTGCTCTTGCTCTTTCAAAGATTTTTTTTTTTTTTTTACACTAGTCCAAAATAGAAACAAAAAAAAAAAAACCATTTTTCGGTTAAAACAATTGCACTGATAAATTTTTTGGGTACTATTTTTGGTATTATTGAAATTGAAGACTGCAGAAATGGGGAAAGATTCTTATGAGGAGGTCATCGCTGGCTTGCAAAAGCTGCTCAGGTAAACAAGCAATTTTTTTTGCTCTATTTTGCTTTCATTATGAATAGAAAATTGTGTATATAAATCCTCATAGTACCCCTGTTTCTTTCATGGAATATCCAAAATACCCCTTCCTTTTGGATGCCGACCTGCTTCCCCATTTTCGTATCCGAATCCATTTGCTTCCCGTTTTGCTTTTTGCATAACAAGAAACATGGGTAGTTTGGTTATTTGTGGAATAGATTAAGGGTTTCTGTTATTTTCGTCATTTTACCTTTTTTTCCTAATTAAGGCACTATGCGTGCATGGTATGGCCTGAGCTATCGCTTTTAATTTCCATTGCATGCGTTTCTTCCTAAAATAAGAGCGAATTCCTAAAATAACAGTTGGATTCGAATTTGGGACGGTGTGCCCCTAAACATTTTGCAACAAATTTGGTATCTATTCTCTAAATAGAGTTATAATAATCAAATCGGTGACCAACTAGTGAGGAGTCTTTTTTTTAATTAAAATTAGTCTGGTTGTCGGTCAAACTAATTGGACTTGATTTTCAAAAATAAAAAATAATAATATTTAAAATTACAAAATGTATTACGAAATCCGTCTAAAGTTTTTAACTGATCTTATCAGTCAAAATCGACCGATCCTACTGGACAGAACAGGTTAAACAATACTTTCGATCAATATTTACCAAAATCCAATTATTCTTTTGACTCGACTAGCCAAAGCGCCGGTTGTCGTTTGATTAGTCTAACTTGGGCAGTGCGGGTCTTGATAACTATGCTATAAAGTACCCTCAATCCAAACTTGTATAATTTTTTCATCATCTCTGCTTATGAATTTTCACTAAATGAGATTTACTATGGCCATTACTTTAATGCTGAAGCTCAATGTTTTAGATTTTTTTAATGTTTAATGCTTAATGTTTCAATTATCCATAAAATTGTTGATTATTTCTTGATGTGCAGCGAATCTGCTAGCTTGAAACCAGAGGCAGTGCAAAAGATAGAGCAGATAACAAGTGAATTGAAAGGAGCCGTGGCTGAGGCAGTATCTCCTACCGTGGAGAAGATCAAGACCGGGTTCGAGACCTTTAAGAAAAACATTTACGAGTTAAGATCCTTCTTATTTCACTATGTTCTTTTTATTTGGATAGAACAGGCAAATACCTTGAAAAACTGTTCAAGATCAACAAACCGATTCTTCAGTATGTGAATCGGTCCAAAAAAAAAGTACAAAACAACTTAAAAAATAAATGAGTGACAACCCTAATAGGACCTGACAAAGAACTGGACCAGTTTCCAATTTCTTGTAGGAGCTGGCTAGCCGGGACCAATGCCCGGCCCGGAATGGTCCCTCCCGGTCCCCAGATGGCCTCTAAATTATGCTTTGTGTGGGAGCCACTTAGCCCACTACCTTTAAACTTGGGCACATAAGATCATTGTTGTGAACCCAATGGAGGCACATGTATTGTGGGCCCAACAAGTGAGATGGGCCTAACAACCGCATACCCATCTTCCATATTTAAAATTATTTAATTAAATCTCATTTTGCATTTTCGGAAAATCGTAGGAAGAAGCCCGAGGTGTTTGGGGAGCTGGCTGAGGGGCAGAGCCCGAAGGTACGGAATCTTCTTCCCCAATGATAAACTATGGTTATTATTATATAATATATTTATCTTCTATTTACGAATCCATTATAATAAGCTCATTGGGGCAAATAACTTTCCATATTATTATTTTAGTTTAGTTTTGATCAATCAAGAATTCTTTGTTTGTCGCCTCTTACAAAGTCCTCTTCCTTTTGCCTTTTTAACGCGTGGTCTTGTCATTCACATTTGACTGTCCACATTCAAAGTACCCCTCCCGAATAACTTTCCTCCTCCTTTCCTTTTTTCTTTTTTTCCTTTTTATTTTTATTTTTATTTTTTTTTAGTAGTGGGTTAGCACTTTTTGAAATAATTAATAGTTTGTGAAAGGAGTTAGCATTAATAAGAATGGAAATCGAGACGTCTCGATAGCTGAATCTTGTGCTCTTTACTTAAACCCAATTCTTTTTATTTTGCCTAGTATTATTTCATTTTATATGCTCTTTACGTTATGGTAAGATGAGTTTTATTCAAAAAAATTTGAATGGTAAATGAAAGGAAAGCTTAGAAAGGGTGGAAATTATCTAAATGCGATTAAAATTATTCAAAATTAGTGATAGTCCCCTTGAAAAATGATCAAGTGAACGAATGCTTCATCTCATGAACAATTTCTTGCTATCATAGATCATTTGGGTATAAATGGTACATGGCATCTTGAACGTCCATATCTAAAACGAATGAACAATTGTCCATACATTGGTTTTGGCAATGGAAGTTGATGCCTGCACTATGCTGCCCAATGCTTGTAAACAAGGCTGACATCAGACTCAGCAGCGTCTCGAGTCTGAGTGTAAATTTGGTCAAGTCTGTCAGAAACTCGGCCAAGTCTAGAAAAGTGATCATGCAAAAAATATAGGTATCATCGGGTTTGGCGGGTTTTTGCTCTAACTCTGCAAGGTGATGAGTCTGAGTAACTTGGGCGAGTCTGATGATACTAGGCTCACCTTTATGAGTATCTGGTTCTTAGATTTTCCAAAAAAGTCAAATGTTATAGTATCCAGGATCATAGCACTTATTAAATAGTCTTCCATGCTAATGTTAATATTGTATTCAATTATTTATTTAACTGTTCATTGATTTCTACTTACTCTCTATTATTTTGACTATGATCCGTAGTTTATGGTGTTCGCATGCTCCGATTCTCGTGTGTGCCCATCTCACATCCTAGGGTTTCAACCTGGGGAGGCTTTCATGGTGAGAAACATCGCTAACATGGTTCCCCCATATGACCAGGTATTCTATAGTCTCACTCCATTATTTTTTAAGTTAAGAATTTTAATTTCTTTTTCGCATTGAATTTATATAAATTGTTTGGCCTATGGATTGTAGGTCAAATACGCAGGAATGGGTGCAGCAATTGAATATGCAGTCTTGCATCTAAAGGTAAACTAGTGATATGCGCGTGGGTTGCACTTGAAATTAATTATTAATTATAAAAATAAATTTTTATTTTGAAATAATGTTTTAAAAGGACTTTTGATTATAGAAAGAAAGAGAGCTTTTAATATATTCGTCTTCACATAATTATCGGGAGAGAAGATAGACCTGCTTTGCTGGTTTTAGATAAAAATAATTGAGAAACAATACAGTGAACACAAAATAAATGAATTTTTTTCTCTTATTCTAATTTAATGCATTTTGGCTCAAAAACTTCCTTACTATGTTTTCTTTGTTTTTAATTATATTATTCACAATATTAGTTTTACTTAGATTAATATATTATTTATTTATAAGATTGTATTATTTTGACAAATTAACAAAAACTAAATATGCAAAAAAGTAAAACAATAAAGCAATTATCTTTTTCTTTATTTCATTTAGCAATATAAATTTTAGTATATTATTAACTTATATTAGCTCTATATCTCTCCATCCTACATGCATGAAAATACACATATGTAACTCTTTTTGTTGTGCGATGACACCTCATCTTCTCTCTCTCCCAATTAAAGCAAATTTAATTTACTCATTTTTTCTTCTCTAAAAAAATAGTGTATATTGTTGTAACACATTATATAGACTCTCCATTTTGCACTAAAAATAAGTGTATGCAAGATTTACATCATATTTTGAACTTCAAATTTCATAGTGGGTATTAAATATTGATTTTAAAGCCATCATAAAGATTCTTTATGCCTAACGTGCTAGCGGGACCATGATTCGAGGTATAAAGATTCTTTATGCCTAACGTGCTAGCGGGACCATGATTCGAGGTGGGGCTTTACTTTGTTTTCATTAAGCCTAAGCCTCGTAGAAACTGCATATCCGCCAAAATGCTTTATTGTGAGGGGTATGTTATTGTGAAGGGTAAAGGCCATCGACTATGGGAGGACGACAAAACTGTCCTTGCAAAAACAAAACAAAACACAATGGGCCGTTCCAAACCAACTAAATTGACAGACACTGAAGGGTTCCTTGGCAACCGCGGTATTTGTGGTTATAAATCGGATAGGGTTGGTGTCTCTTTCCGGCGTATTTATAGGGAGGCAAATAACTTAGGGGATGCTTTGGCTAAAAAAGAGCATCTTTAGATTCTTTGGTGGTATCAGATAACTTTTTTGTTATGATTTTGTACTTTCTGCATTTTAACAATAAAATTTTGAATCGTCAAAAAAAAAGAAAGGGGATATTCGTAACAAAATTAACAGGCAAAGAGATAGAGATATGCATTAAATGTCAACACCTTGGCAGTTTACCCCAATTAAGTAAGAGATTTCACGGTCATTGTGGAGGGAAAAGTATCATTTTTTTTTCCATGCCTTTAGGGAAGATGTTTGGCAAGGCACGGTGCTTTGAGTAATAGTTTTAAAGGTATAGAGAGAGAGAGAGAGAGAGAGAGAGAGACATATCTATGATAAGTAGAAGTAGTACGTAAGTAAAGTACGATAGTAAGAAGTAACGTTAGTAGTAAGAGAGTATTCGTTTTACTTTAGTGTG